TTTTCCTTCTAATCATCTTTTAACACCACATCAAATATTAAACTAGATGTACACTTATTTTTGAATAAATAATAACTATTTACTTGTCAAATATATTGATCACCATCTAATCTTCCATGTTTTTAAAAGCTAACTTAGCTCTTAGACGAATTTTTTAGAACAATGATAATGTTGCTAATGTCTCAAAAATAGCACGATTAATAAAGTCCCAACTATTATTCAAGATAAGATTCATTGTATTTAATGAACTTCAATTCTAAAATAATCATATCGTGATGATATTGACGGTTTGAAAAATCCCTGGCTAGCATGACCTTATAAATAAAACATCTCACTCTATTCATAGACCGGGGTTCTTGTACCTTAGAAACAGGTATCGACAGCTTGCAAAGTAGGAAATAATGCTATTCACAATTACCTTATAACTTGAGTCATTGACTACTAAAAACGAGTAAATTAGAGAAACTTCCCATTTTTACTTTGCTGTGGCAGTTAGTATTTCTTCTGGAAGTTGCTTCTAGGCTTCTAGCCATGAACGTTCAACCGAAGAAGGGGAATAGACTATTGAGAAGAGGGGGGGATAAACAAAGAGAAGACATGAGAAAGCAGCAAGTCACATTTAGAAAAAGCTAGATACATGCATGTATTTGAATTCAAATCAGGATTATTATTTTTTTATTCACCACCACCTTGGAGTATCAATGGCACTGATTCCATGATCTCAACAATTCATCATTTTCAAGGTAGAAAACATGCAATCCTATTGTTGAAGGAAGTTATGAATCTCATGATAGTGACACACAAACTCCAGAATAACCCGTCCCTTGGACCTTGTGTTGATAACAAAATGCTCTGGGTATTTTCCTCAACAGCATCAGCAAACCATACCATGGTTTTCCATTGGCATCCAGGATGCTCCTCCAATGTGAGTTACCTCCTCACAAGACTATGATGCCAGATATTGCCGTATAGTTCACATAACTGTACAAGCAAACATAGTCATTAAGGAATGCTAACAGTCTGAAGGCAAAATTGATGGATGAAATCAGACTGTCATCGACACGTTTAGCAGTTACAAGTGATGACACTGGCATCATGAATGTCATTGATGAAAGATAGTAGCATATCACCATAATACTCGGAATATATAAACAAATGAGTTTAAATTCATAATTGAAGTGTTAACACGATTTTATAAATGTTTAATTCTATTCAGTTCAAAGAGAGTGGAAAGAATTGATACGAATTTAAAATGGTAAACAAGCATAATTATGTTAGCGTAAATTTAATACTAACTTATATTAACTAGACTATGAGAAATTCCGTGTATCCTTTGATCTTTCGTTAAACATAATGCATTGAATAGCAGAGAGTGGTTGTGACTATGGATGGACATTTGCTAGCTCAAGGCAGAAAATTTAATGGAAATGGTTGATACTTTCCAGCCCAAAAATATTAAGAAGAAAAAGATAATGTCCAATGACATAATTACTTTTTGAGTTCCAAAAAGGTATTCTCATTTGAACAAAACAATCAGAATAGACATGTAACTCATTAGTAGCAGCTCAAAGGGGTATAACATTGAAGGAACATCTTGAAAGTGGCGCAAAAGAATTGTTCATTCAATATCGAGAGAAATCCTGAGGCAGTGAAATAACAGGAATAGTATGTTATGTATTCAAGTTGGTAAAACAATACATATACACAGTAAATAACCACGATGAAAATAGTATACAACAAATAGCACAAGAACAAAACATGTACACAGCTAAAGTAAAATTAAAAATGGATAACGAACTTGTCAACATGTAAAGAGTCTAGATATTTCGGGCAAGTTCTCTAAAAGTGGCAAAGAAGAAGGCCTCTTGGTATGAGACTTTCGTGAAACAAATAAAGTTTATAAGGAACATTATTTATACATTCAAGTTGTTCAATTCATTAAATGAACTTTCAGAAATAAGACATAAAATTCAGAGTAAAATTAATAGAGCAGCAATTTCTGCACTTTTTGTTGCTATCTATTCTCTCACAAATGATATAGAATGTCCTAGGATTTCAATGCCCTCAGCAAGCAATAGACTTGAGACGTCTGCCAATACTGGCCCCTGTATTCTTGCTCAAGCTAATTTGTGCCTAATGCCTATTGCAATCCATTCTTATTTACATCTTCTCTGCCCCTCTGCTCCCCCTTACGGTAAACTATGCCATCAGCTCCCACCCACCTCCAGAAACAAGATAAATGAATGAATAAATAATTTCCTCTCATGAAATTCCTCCTTGGAAGGGGATAAAAAAAGAAACGAACAGAAAGGGATTAGCATTCTCCATCTCACAACATTATCTTTGTCTCTTTTGTACATCAGCTTTACTGTCCTTATGAGTGCTCAAGTATCTAAACAGGCATGTATTACTTTCACACTATGATTGCTCCAACGGTATACCGAGACAAAGAAAGAGGTTAGTTACTGCATGGCTAACAAACAATTATCATCTATGCTGTATCTCTGAAATCCCTACCAATCATCTTCTTTTCCTTTTCCTTTACCTTGTGCCTTAAATGGCGGGAGATACAGCTTAACAGGTAATACATTTCAGTATTTTTTTTGTTGAACAGCCAATTCAGATTTCAAAAGGGGTGGAATGATAGAGATTTTAGTAAGATGAAGCCCTTGCTTCTTAGTTTTCGGCCTGTAGATTGGTGTTATGCAGTTAGGGAGTAATTTAGCTTCAGTTACAATGAATTAACCTGTTCTTTTCTACTTTTTAGTGGGTGGAGAGAGAGAGAGAGAGTGTTCTAACTTACCTCAGAATGAAGTTTTGCCATTGGCATCCGTTCTCCAGGAGCTCATGGATCAGTGAGCACAGTGGCCACTGATGATCCAACATCCTTCTCTAATTGCAGGAGCTGCTGATTATGAGCTTCCCTATCAACTTCTGATCTTCCATCAATCTCTTTATCTGCAAGATATCTGGACCTAATCACGTCAACGGCATTTAAATGGGATACTCAGATCCCATTAAACTCAAAAACTACAGATCATTCCTCCATCCATCCATTTACTTAATTATGTTATCCATTAGCTATACATCATGACTCCAGACAATCATTAATAATGAATCTGGGTATGTACAAGTAAAAATGTAAGATCATGGTCAAATTGGAGCCTCATTCCATAAACTTAAATTCAGTTACTTATGAGTGTTTCACATGGTTTGCTTAACCTAAAAAAGGAAGTGAAATGCCACAAATTTCACTCAATAAAATGGCACATGGAGGGAAAGAACTTGTTAAAATGACACGAGCTCTTCTCAAAGGATGTAGGTTTGGCAATCTACATTACTTGATCAGTATTGGTTTGACTATATCAGTCAATCAACAATTTCTATACAATTTCCAGAAGCATTGAATGGGCGAAGGTGAAATATATGTCTTCACAAAATTAAGTATTTGTACATGGTGGAAATTTGCATAAACTGAAAACAGGTGGAATTCAGAGCTCTCAAGATGGGTCAGATTAGGTGGAAGAAGGTGGAGTTCACAGGCATGCAGTAAAAGATGAGGTAGCCTGTCTTTCCAAAAGAAGTCTGCTAGTAGGAAGGATCTGGAATATATCCACTCAGTGAAATTTTTGCCATGAAATGAGAGAAATTGAAAAGCCTAACATTGAGTTGATCCATTTGTTAAGAAACTTAAAAGTGTTTCTTTGAATACTCTAAGGTACACATACAGCTTTTTAGATTTTAGTTTTCTTTGAATAAACATTTTGTGGGACCCATTACTCTTCTCATTATAATCTCCTACCTTATGATGAGATTATAATGAAACCCAAACACACACAAATGTTGAATATGTGGACTTCATCACCTACCAATGTCAAGCCAAAAACTAATTTGCCATTTATGCAAAGTCCTAAGACAGTTCAAATAGTTACCAGAACCTATCAAGAACCACCAATTGATGTCCCTGAAATGATTCAAAACCTAGGAAACGAGATACGCGGAAATTTGGACTTAATTTGATTATGTTTTAGTTCACTGTTCTCTGTATGTAACTACAGAAGTGAGGCCATTTATGATTTAACTACTAATCTTGGAGCAGATAGCACATAAACTACAATCTATATCTGTTATTTGTCATTACCAATCCACAAGAACACATTGAATACAAGAGATATGCCCACAATTCTTAGCCACCACGATTAACTGAAAACAAAGTACGGTAGCATTAATTCGATACATGAGATAAGAGTTACGCACCGAGTTGCACCGAAATTGAAGCCTTTCCACCAGAGCCTGATGCATCGTAACCGAACTCATAACCACTAGGACCATCAACCTCATCTCCTCTCATCATTTTACCTGATGCAGAACCATCATCTCCATCGCCCTCCTCCTCATCATACTCCTCTTCATAATACTCCCTCACTCTCCCCTTCCCCAACCCTACGCCTCTCGACCACCGTGGAGGCGGCAACCCCAAATGCTGATTCTGAGCACCACGATTATACTGATTACTTATTCCATAATCATTGACATGATGTCTCGGTCCGATGGGCCCACCCAAAATGCTTTGAACGGGCAACAGAAAATAGAATTCCTTGGCGCCAATTTGGATGAGGTCCTGAGAATCAAGTTTGACGGGATGGCTGCCCAGGAGATGGAGAACGCCCTCTACATAACAGCCATTTTTCCCGAGCACCTCGAGGGTAAAGCACCGCCGTTGGAAGTCGTAGAAAATGCGGGCATGTTGGCGGCTGATATTCATTCCTCCTCCCAAGGAGAAGAGATCAAGGTCGACAGAAGATTTCTTGGAATTACGACCCAAGATTATGGAGTATGTCTGCATGTAGTACTCGAAGTCCTCTCCCTGTAGCTTTGCAAACCCTGCTTCCACGTCGCTGCACTCCATTTTCTTGATTTTCTTTAATCTGGATTCAGAACTCTGTCGGAGAATGAAAATATGCAACGAAAGACTAGAGAAAATATGTGCGGGAATATGGAATTGGCTCATTCAACCTCCAATAAATATTTTAGATAAAAATTATATTTTTAATAGATTTTAATAAAAATTTATAGAACATGTGATTTAAAAATTGAAAATATCGTAAAATGTGGAATTAAAATTAAGCGGTGATCTTAAATTGGATTTAAATCCACTTCTTGAGTGGAGACTGTGGAGTGAGCGACCCTTTGTTTTTTGGAGGAATCCTTTAATTTTAATTATGAGAATTGAGAAATATATAATTATTCCAATTGAATCTATTAGTTATTTATACTAATATTTTTATATGTGACACGGTTTTAAATTTTTTCCAACTTGCAAAAAGTATAAATAATGTATTTTGTGTGTGTGCTCAAGACCCAGGTTGAAGAAGTTTGTGGAATAAATCTAAGTGTACAATATTGGTTGACGACAATGAGTGACAATCACGTGTTGTCAAAATCTTAGTATGTGATGTAGAAAATAACTTTTTAAAATGAATGAATATAATGATGACAAATAGGATGTTGTCAACCAATATTCTACATGTTGTGAAAATCCAATATCAGATACAAGGAACTACTAGTTGTATGACTTAATTTATAAGCCAGGACTAAGAAGAGACATTTTATTATTATTATTATTATTGCATTTTTATTAATGAAATTTATTTTATATCAAAGAACAAGGGAAATTATGGTGGTGGTGACAATTTTGGTGTTCGATCTTCATGTACAACTTCGAGCTAGGTCATCAATCTTGATTTATTTTAAAGTTTATTCTAACATAAAAAAAAAAGTGTCAAAAATACAATAGAGTGGTCCTCTACACGAGCGTGATGAATATGACATTATTCATATAACAATTCCGCTTCAGGTACATATTTGTACACGGCTTACCATACACTCTGCTGAGGTGGAAAATGGCAAAAAAACGAAAAAAAAAAAAAACAAAAAACAAAAGCCTAGAAAAAAAATCGGCTTTTCTTTATCTGAACCGGTTGTAACCCTATTTTAGCCCCATCTCACATTCGAAATCAAAAGACGAAAGATGCTCAGATCCCTTACCCGTATAGTAATCGAAAGACGCTCAGATCCGTCATCCGGTTGCCGACTCAACCGTTCGACGATATTTCGTCCATTCCCATGGGAAATCACCCATCGATTGCGTGAATCGTGTAGGTATTTTTTCAAAAATTATAAATTATAGTCTTTCTTTTCGGGGACTGGATCTGCACTTTAATCCAAATAATCACACACACACATATATACAGTTTTTTGTATGTATATATGATGATGATGAAGATGGTGGGAAGAGAGGTCATTTGTCATATTTTTTTGTACGTTTTTTCTTACTGCCCCCATTAAGTGTATGTTTTGTATTTAGAAAGTTGCATTATTTAATTAGGTGGTAAGTTTATGTAGTTAATCACAGACACATATGATATACCTTTTTTGTATGTATATATGATGATGAAGATGATGATGATGAAAAGAGTCCACTCATTTATCAATTATCATATTTTTCTGTGGGTATTTTTTCCTAAATGCCCCTATTAAGTGTATTTTCTGTATTTAGGAAGTTTCATTATTTAATTAGTTGTTGAGTTTATGTAATTAATAACACACACACACACACATGATGATGGAAAGAGTCCAGTTAATGCAAGGAATTGTTTTGTGGGTTTACCCAATTATTTTACTTACTCATCTTACAATTAGTCCTGAATTTATAGTTCTGTATTGATATGGTTGTGTAATATGGTTGAATTAGAATATGTAGATGGCAGGCAAGAAGGGGGGAGTATGCCATTGTGGTGAAGTGTCCTTTGCATGATAAAGGTGAACCAAGCGCCATCACAAACGGAGGTGAAGATGTGGATGATTTGTCGCGAATGTTGAAAACGCTTGCCAAGCTAACTGAGGAAAAAGGCGTGGATGGTTTGTAAATGTTTAGTGTTCACTAGTTCCAACCATTGTTGTAGCAAGTCTATATGTAATTATTAGTATTTCCATATGCAAGTGTTTATGTAATGATATTGTAGTATTTCTGATTGGTTGGTTACTTTGACGTGAAAAACCCGGATATCGAAACTTAAGACAAGATGATCCTCTTTTAGGGAGCACTTGTATTCTCTCTTTAGTATAAAAATGATATAGTATTATCTCTTCATTAATGTTGAATACTACTACAATGATTCAGGACGTGGTGGCAGCAACATTTGGTGACTAGTTTTTATTGAGCATGACCAATTTATATGGATATGTCTTATGTGAATAGATCTTTCATCCAATCAATAGATTTTAACTTTGTAACATAAATGAAACTTGAATGCTTCATCGTAACTTGCCATGATAATTTCTAGAAGTCAAAGGACTTATCCAATAGACAAAACCAAGAATAATGCTCTTTCTAGCAACACAGAGAGTTGATATTTGTTTACATCAAACACACTTGAAATTAGAGAATAACTACCCATTTTAAATACACCAAACCATGATCACGTTCATTTTGAGTTGCATTACGAGGATGAACCGACATGTTGCGAGTCCATTGCAATTCCACCTATAGAACTTCTATTCTGGAAAACACTAGAGGGGCACCCTAGAACAACATCATGAAGAGTCGACGGCTGCTATGCCATTTAGCAATATTTAGCATCATTTTACGTATGAAACGAACTCTTCGTATTGTTAAAAAAAAACAAAAAAATCACACAACTTACACCATGAGGGAAAAAACTCGCTACAGAGGGTCTGAATTGTGTTCCAACATTGTAGGGCAATGGGAGATAGTAGTATGGCATTGTACCACCTACTTTCAAATGGAAAAACACAAATTATGAAAAAACTTGAATGTGAACATTGAAATGTGCTAAACATACAGAAGAGTACATAAACTCACCGTGATAACTGAACAAAACATTTGACGTCAAAGCGGAAATGATATTTGATGATGGCAACTATTGTGTAAATGCATGATTGTCATCGTCACCCGAAGTCACATGACAATTGTATGAGAAGAAAATGCCTCAAATAAATTGACGAATAAAAAAACTTACAAATATCAGTTGTGAATTTAAGAACGGTGTCGGTAGCGAGTATTGAGCTTGTGGCGGCGTCGAAATGACAGTTGCCTCTAACCCAATATTGCTTTTCGCTGCTCTTCATCTTTATCCTTTGTTTGACGTGAATGTTCCCTTATGACACTGGAATAATTCATATATATGTCATTCGTTCACATAAAAAAATGACATATGAAACAAAATGTCGAGTAAAAGTAACCTGCGTTTTCTTCGATCTCGACTCCAACGAGCTTTTGCTACGGAGTTTCTTTGGTGCACCCTTCCTCCTAAAGCATTTAGGATCTTGAATGCTACTATTATCTATGTTATGTGATGCTACAGACTGTGAGCCTAAATGCAAACTAGGCTGTGAAATGTTATTACTTCCCCAACCCGTCTTTGTAGACAGCATCTCTTTCGATTGTGACTGAATCCAATCTATGATCACACGAGTTCTCTCTTCGTCATCCGCGACAATGTCTGCCAATGTAGAAAAAACTTCACACATTGTATCATACCTCAGTTGGCTAGGAGTGCTAACCAGACCGTCATAATTCACAGCTACCCTCGTGTGGGCTCTATTAACATCTCGTCTCCACCTCCTCAATATGTACCTCTCTGGTAGTGATGTGATGCTGTTACACAACAAATCTGATATGGCATGTCTGCACAGAATCCCACGAAACTCAAACAAGTGACAACTGCAAATAATATCACAATCCTCAGCACGAAAACTGACCATAAATTTTTTCTTCTTGACATGTTCTTCCAAAATTACGTCCTCCTCAACCTCATACATCTTCTCCGTAATGTTCTCTGATGTCGATACCACATCGCAATACACTTTCCCAGTTATCTCATCTTGAAATTCTCTAAACTTCGAAATAGTATACACTGCTTGGAATTGCTTTTCCATTTCATATTTTGTTGCACAAGGCACCATCTGTGAGTAGGACTTAAAATCTGCTTGGAATTCCTTTTCAACTTTATTCCACAATTGCTTCAATGATGTCTTCGAATGCACATACCCATCGAAGAACGTATTCATACTTTCACTACGTTGAGTTGTTGACATCTCAACCCAAAAAGTCATTTTCAAAAAACATGGCACCCAACGACCCCTGTTCTCAAACAACCCCGACAACCACTCATTATCATGTAAGCCGTACGTATCGATCATAACTTTCCAACCTTCTTCAAATTCGTCAACAACCTGCGTATCATTCACTAATCTGTGTATACACGAAAATATTGACGGCTTATCAATGTGGTATCCAAACTTCTCCGGCAACTTCTTCAATATATGCCACATACACCATCTATGTCTTGTATTCGAAAATACTATTTGAATAGCATTTTGCATGGCCCTGTCTTGATCTGTAATTATTCCATTTGGTGCCTGACCATGCATGTACTTCATCCATGTTCTGAACAACTAAGTAAATGTATATGTATCTTCATTAGCTAGCAAACCACATCCAAGAAGTGTTGATTGCCCGTGATGATTTACTCCAACAAAGGGGACAAAAGGCATGTCGTAGTTATTAGTTAGATAAGTGCTATCAAACGTCACTACATCCTCAAACTCCTTATACGCTTGCCTACACCTCTTATCTGCCTAGAAGAGATTCCTAAGTTGTAACTGTTCGTCCAAATCCATAGAGAAATAAAACCCCGAACACCTTAATTGCATTTCTGAAAAATATGATTGTATTGCCGCGGCGTCTCCTTCGCCGAGTCTCAATCACCTGACTCGCTCAACATAATTCCGACAATCCTTTTCCATGCAAGTCATATTCTCATACCCACCCGCCTCAACAACTGCAGAGTTGTAACTCTTGTGCAAAGGAATTCCGGCCATATC